CTAAAGCACAAAAAAATCAGTTAGTTGACATTGCCACTACTTCTTGGTTTATGTATTGACTCATTAATTTCAGCCAATTTTGGCAAATAGCCAATGTTCAATTTTAAACATACTTTACATTATTCAGCAGAGCTTTGAAGAGAGTGTGCTTAGGACCACATGCAAAGTCAGGCTTCCTGAGAATTGTACATAAATAATAAAGAGTTTGGAATATTACTTTTCAAGAATGTCAATGAAAAACAGTAGACTTAGAGATCAGGGAAACCACCGAACTGGTTTGCAAGATAAATCAGTTTTTATTCCCTCAGATTCGAGCAGCCAATAAAATTTGCTTGGGTTTAATTTTCTCCTAAAATGAACAGAGGTGCATGTACTTTTTATTTTGCTACATTAGTCAGGTGCATAAAAATAAACAAAGGTAATGTTGAACAAGTGGCTGTGCCAATGATGAAGTAAACCACACTGAATGACAAAAATTTGAGATTATTTTGATTGCCTGGAATGAAAGGCAATCTGGTGATTTGACATTCTGAACCTTACTTCTCTCCCCTCCCAAGTATGGAGTTCAGAACAGTTGCCTTATCTTTAAAAAAAGGTCTCAATTACTTACACACAGCTATGCGCTTTCTACAAACTAAGTGTGTTAATACACTTAATATCTAAGAATTGTCTTCCAGATCCTCAGGAAATGCTTCATTGTTTGCTGTTGCTAAATTTCAAGGTTTGAGCCAACGTCTGTTGTATAATTGTTTCCTTAAGAGTTATGGGAGTTTGGAGGTTGTTTGCAGCTTCAGCAGTCACTGATGCCCTGTCAAAAGGTGTAAAGAGGAAGTTTGTCTGCAACAACTTCTGCCTTGACTGGGGTCTTAAAATAGAAAACCGGAAATGGTTAGAGCTGTTTCTGCAGTAAGGCCCACCCATGATGAGAAAGGAAATTTTTAGTCCTCAGAAAAAATCACTAGTAGAATCATTGGTATAAATATAGGTCAAGTATTTTGAATGGACACATGATCAGATGTTTTCAAAACATCCACTGTGATCACTATCACTTCAATTATATTTTTGATGATTAAAATGTTACATGGATTGAAATTTATTAGGCCACATTTTGATTTTGAAAGTCTAATGCAATAATGACTTCTGTAGCATTCTGTACACAGTAATTCCCAGTGAGATAAGGAACTAAGCTTCTAATAAAAGTTTTTAAAAAGTGCGGTACTGCTTCACCTTCACAAGAGAAGCAAAGTTTCTTTGTCGGTAGCATATAATTCTGGGGCAGTGTACAGTTGAACATTGCCATGTTTTTAGGCCTCCTAGCCTCTATCAAAGACACAGGAAATCTGCTATTTACTCTTCCCATATTTGGCTTTATCCCCCGCTCCCCTTCTGCATAGAAAATTAACTTTCATCACCAACACACCAACCATTCAAACTGTTTTTATCTGTTTTGATCCCCTCCATAGGATTGCAGGGTGATTGACACCCCCAGCAACCAAGGAAAGAGTGCCCACTTTCATCATTTCAATTGATGAATTTGTTTATTACAGTATTAGACCAGAGACCAGAACAAATAAAAACATTCAGTTAATGTACAATTAAAAATTCTAGTATAAAATAATAAATAACAACTAAAATCTATAATAAAATCCAGTCTGTCAATTATACGTGGTCTAACTATACTAAAATTACAATCCATAAACTGTGTGGCCTGTTGTAAGTTCAATGCTAAAAGGGAAAAGACTAAGCAAGGCAAAGGGTTAGTAAGTTGTTTCCACAAAACAGAGGGAACTAGTTCATTGGGGAAGTGTTACTTTTATCCCAAATAAGACTATTCTAGCCTCAGTCTTATCTCTTTTGGATACATTGGCAGGGTCAATTAGTTGGGATTAAATGGGTATCTCCCTGATCCATTTAGGCATGTTGTGCAAAGGGCCAGTAATTCTTCTCCTCAATTGCTATCCAATGGCAGGCATCCTAAATAGAGGCTGCTTACTGCAGTTTCCAAATTTGGCATCCCCTAAATGGCTTGAAATACAGGAAGTCCTAGACTTAAACCATTTGTTTAGTGACCATTCAAAATTACAATGGCACTGAAAAATAGTGACTTCTGACCATTTTTCACATTTGCAGCCGTTGCAGTTTCCTTGTGATCAAATGATCAAAATTCAGATACTTGTATTTATAGTGGTGGCAGGGTCCCGGGGTCATGTGATCATCTTTTGCAACCTTCGACAAGCAAAATTAATAGGGAAGCCAGATTCACTTAACTGCTGTGTCACTAATTTATCAACTGCAGTAATTCACTTAATAACTGTGGCAAGAAAGGTTGTAAAATGAGGCAAAATTCACCTAGCAACTATCTTGTTTAATAATGGAAATTATGGGCCCAATTGTGGTCATAAATAGAGAACTACAATTATGGTCTTAAGTCCGCCCCCTCCACCAATAGTCCAGTAAGCATGCCAGTTAGCAGGTTGCAGTCCAATCTAGGTAAGAGAAGCTTGATCGAGTGAGATATATGTCGTCAAGTATTTGCTTATAACTTTCTTTCAATCAGAAAAGTGAAATTGTACAGTTTCTTTAGGAAGAATTAGAACAACTGAACCATTTCCCACCATTTCCCAATACACCTCAAAGTACTTTGGGGTGGAAATATTTAGTTTGTTTTTTCTAAATGCCTTTCTAGTGTTTGGCAAAAAGGTAGGGTTTCCTCCCTCAACAGTAAAACTTGCAGCTTATTAATTATGTAAAAATCTCCTGATTTCTTTTTCTGGTGAGAATTGACTTTTACACATTACTTTGTGAACATCTGGAAAATTGCTTGCTACTCCGGATGAATAACAAATTTGTTGGGAAGGCTAAAAAAAAATATATCAGTGGGTGGAAGTACCTGGGCACCTTATCCCACATCTTGGTTTACAAATTTCTAACTTTTTATAGCCACAAAATACTTAATTGTTTTTTTTAATAAAATCCCCAGTTATTTTTTTTTAAACCCAGGACAGTGAAAGTACCATAAATGTACAATATGGAAGGAGGTAGGGAAGTTGGCTATTGAGCTGCATACCAGAGCTGTGTTGTCAAAAATGAATGAGCCCAGAACAACATTTAAATGAGATTAATTTTAAATTTAATAAATGCAGTTAATGAATTAGATTATTATTTTTGTCACATTAAAAATTGTACTTTGATAGCAACATCCAAAGGAGCTTGGAAGGAAGAACAATTTCCAGGGAACTGAATGAAACCTTCAGACTGCTACATGCTTATCCCTGTTTTATGCATTCATTGTATGAGTCTCTGAATCCTAATGTCTCAAAAATATCCTGAAAGTTTACACTGATTTTGTTTCACAGGGTAGACATAGTTACTACTTCTCTAGAAATCTTTATGAACATGTCTTGTCATTTGAATTGTTGTGAGTATGTATTTAAGAGGAAAGTGTTAGCACATTTTGGAACAAATGAATCCACCCACATTTCAAAAGATTGTTGTGGTGGCACTTTTTGTTTTGTAGCTGAGGAGAAACGAATGACATTATCTGTGCTTGTCTTCATTGGGTTCATTCTCAAGGATGAATGCATGAATTCCATGGTGTAGCCCAGCCTGTATGGTTTGGAGAGGCCAGCTGATGTGAGGCTATGGAATAACTAAAAAAGAAAGCATTTTACAAGGTTGGCTTTACCATTAAGCTCTGAGTCCAAAGGTGCTGGATAATTGCTCAGAACCAGGCCAAATAAATTGGAGTGTGAAAAATATGGCAGGGGGACAAAGCCACTAAATCCATGTGGCTTTTGGCAGGCTTGAGGTGCCTTCTTCCAAAGAGCTTCAGGATGAAATTGGTCAGGGAGAGCTTATGACAAGAAAATTTCCATATCAGAAGTCTCTGGAGGACATTTTGAAGATATTATCAGATATGGCAGGTATGATAATATCTGGCTTGACTGCTGGCTTCAAACGTGTTAGGAGATCTGTAGTTTCAGGGCAAGAGGGAAGAGACAACACATTCCACTTTCTAATCCTTTCAAATATTTGCAGGTATTGTCAACACTGGTGAGGCAGGTAAAGCAAGTCTATTTTAGGTATGTTTCTACATGATGGAAATTGGCAGGTTTAAATGGCCTATTGCAGGGATCTAGCTGGGTAGATAAATCCTGTAATATAAATGATCAGCTTATTGTTGTTTGGCTGTCTGAACTTTTCTCATGAGTTTCCTTATGCCTTGTATATCATACTGAGGTAAGCGAGACCTTGATTTATGGCAGTCTCAGAGTCTTGTCATGCTGTATTTTCTACTGCCAGATCTTCACAATGTCATTTCCTATGGTTACCTTGGAAGCCATTTCAACATCATTTCCTGTGTTTGAAAGATAGGGTGGGTCTATATAACTGTATTTACAGTTACAGGACAACTATCCCACAGGTATCAGTCTGTTCAGGATCTTAGATAATAACCCCTGTTCTGCCTGCCAGAATCCTGAATAACAAGGGTTTGTGCTACAGATGGCTGGCCTCACAAGATTTAGTGGTATGTCACATATTCTAGGACAGTCTTCCCCTAATCTGATGCAGATATATTGATTCCAAATTCCTACAATAGTCATATGATAACGCTACTAACAGGATTGCAGTTCAGCTCATATAGAAGGTGGCACATCAGGAAGGCTGTTTTAGGCCTGAGAACCCTACTTTAAAAAGTGCATTGCACCCAGACAAGTTTCAAGTTTTATCCCCTGAATTTTTCAGCAAAGGAATGGACAACGCTGCAGCCTCCAATATGTTTGGGGGGGGGGAATGCTCTGGAGGGTGATAGTGCTGAGGAATTGGGGTGGGGGTGGGCTGTAGCTGCAGAAGGGAAAGAAAATTTTATTTCATGCACTTGGGTGAATGTGGATGTAGTTCTGAACACTGAACTGTTGTGGGAAGCAAACCATTTCATCCTTCACTCTTCCATGCAGCCGTCCACAACCTCTGTCTTACACCATCATATTATTTTGCAGAAGCAGTAGAGGAGCTGAGGCCATGCTGAGTGAAACCGAGACCTCCGTTCACCTAGCTCTCCAAAAAGCGTGGCTACAATTAAGCTTGCAATCAACTCCTTTAAACACTATCCAGATATGGAAAACCCAGGTTTGTGCTTGGTATGAAAGCATGAGAGTCTAATTAGGAAGAATGAAATGGTTTCAGTTTTCTTTTGCTATCCCTCTCCTGTTGAGAAAAAAGAAAAGAAAATATACGAGAGGATCAGGTCTCTGCTGCTTCCTCCCCTGCAGGGGTTCCTAGATAGCCAGGCTATTAACTCCATTCCCATCCACAGTTGCCAATTCCATCACGAGTGCTCATATGCTTATTAAACACAAGGAACACCCAAACAAAGAGTCTTAGGGTGCCTTGAAATTAACAGCAATAGCACTTAGACTTAAATACCACTTCATAGTGCTTTACAGTCTTCTCTAAGCAGTTTACAGAAGCAGCATATTGCCCCCAACTATCTGGGTCCACATTTTACCAGTAGGATGGAATGCTGAGTCAACCTTGAGCCGGTGAGACCTGAACTGCCAAACTGCTGGCAACCAGTGATCAACAGAAGTAGCCTGCAGTACTGCATTCTAACTCACTGTACCACCACAGCTCTTAAGCATTATTTATCCTTAAAGACTTCATGAGAAGACTACTATAGGTTTGATTAGGCTCAGTTATTATAAAAAAGGAATGTTGTAATTTTGTTTCCTCTTTATGGAATGGCTGATAGTAATTGCTGATGAGTTGTTTAAATTAAAAAAAAACATATCAGAGATGCTTTTTTACAAATTGAATTGTTTACACCTGGTACCCTTCACGTTTGTCAGTAGTACCCAGGAAAATAAGTGTGAATGGAAAATACTGCTAAAAATAAACGTGGATATTTTGATTTTATAAAAAAAATCCATATTCTACAATATTGATCTACTAGTCGTAAGTCTGGTGCTGCTTAACTTAGCTTATATATCTCAAACAGGAGCTAACAATACTAGTGCTATATAACTAGGATTTTGCCTTTGATGATGGGGTTATGTAAATGTAAATTTACATAAGTTTGCATGAAACTAAAAAAATTAGAAATCACTGAACCTCATGTTGATTTCCTCTTTTGCTTTAAGAGGTTGAGTCAGACTTTCTCCGAAGTGTGCATGCCCTTCTCCGGGAACTTGATGGCCATCATCCAGCCTTCCAAAGTGAGAGAGGTAAGATCACTATAGATAGCCAGCTTTCCAAGAGATTGGTTATTGTGTGCTTACACTTCCATTCTGTCAAGCACGGGTAATCAGGAAGTTCAAGCAGTTCAAATGAATATAAAGATCTATAACAAGCTTAAGCTCTCTTCAAGAATCTGAACTATTAACTAATGTATTAATTAATAAAGGAAATTAGTGGTAGAGAAGAACCAATGGAATTCAAGGTGGGCTGGACTTAGATCTGTTGTGGCATGAAGGGACTCGAGACTGAAGACACATTTGACCCCTCCCTCAGGCTCAGCTTGGTCATCTCCTACATGTTCTGCCTACATAAGCTGGAGGAAGGAAAGCTTGACTCTCCGTGCTAGGATGTCATTCACTTGGGATTTGTTTCTGGATACCTTACTTGGTGAGATACTTGCTCAAAAGATGAAGTAGTTGATCTGATCCTAGAGGACAAATTTCTGCCCATTAAATTTTTCCTCATTATCAATATAACTATGGAGAAGAATTGTCAAAGAGCATGCTTTATAAAGATGAAATTTCCATCTATTATCTCTAGTTCAGAGAGTTCAGGCAGTAAGATAGCAGAAAGAGCTTTGCCTAAAGAAAAGAGAACTGCCAAATTGCTGGGTAGAACATTGATCAAATCCATTGTGTGGATTCCCAATTGGTTTGCTAGGAAATGTATGCTAGGAATAATTAACCCACATCGGCTATGTTCACACAACATGCTTAAGTGAATTACAAGCATATCATTTAGGTTGAAAGTTTATTTCAACCTAAAGTAGCTCTAAAGTTATCTGAGGACAAATTGACTTTCCCTGGTAAGCTGTATCCTATGAATAGAGAACAGATGGTTATCATAGAGTTAACTCTGCTTATCACTCACCCAGAAATGAAAGTGTGGAGCAAAACCAGGGCTTCTCTAGGAAATAATTTACTTTATTATTTTCATCTCATAGCCAAATAAGGCAGAAAAAAGACATGAGAATAGCTAAGTTCTGTCTTCTATGCTTCTGATTCCAGTTGAGCCTTGAGGAATTTCTTCCCAGGCTTTTCAGAGGAAAGTTAAAAAGGAGTAAGTGACAATCTCATTACTTTCTATGAAGATAACCAGTTTTCATCTTTGGTCGTAAATTCACAGTGGTGATATATTTGTTAGGATTAGTTGTGTTATGTGAAGATAACTGCAACAAAACTTTAATGACAGATGATGGTGAGTTCCAGCCAGTGTTAATATCTATTTTTCTTTTCTTCCTGAAGTACTGAAGTTAAATGAAGGCAATATAATGTCCCAAAGGTACTTTTTGAAAGGCAACTGGACTTTCTTGGTTGTTGTTTTTTTAATGTTTCACCTCTCATCCAAGAAGCTTCTTCAGTTCTTAGAGGAGAAGCGAAACATTTTCAAGGAAAAAAAATCAAGAAAGTCTAGTTGCCTTTTGAAAAGTTCCATTGAAACAACTGTGACCTGAATGATTGAGAATCTTTATAAACAAAAGACAAAGTTAGTGTTTTTGTTCAGTTTTTTTAAATGCAATACTACAACTTTTAAAAAACATCTTGGAAGCAAATTCCTATCATAGGTGGAAATGAATACCTCAGTTTTAAGGACTGGAAATAATTATTAATATGTTTAATTGATAGCATGGATGAGCCTTTACATGTAAAACATATTGAAAGACACCTACATCCTGAGAGCTTTTTCTGAACATATTACAATCCAGCCTTCCTTCTCCTATGAATTCCATTTTTTTATATATTGTATCCTTGGATTAATAAATGAAACATTAATAGATACTCTTATTTTGATCTCACAGGGATGCTAAGATGGACCTTGCACAAGAAAATTGACCGCAATCCCCAAAATGGAATTCTCTGGATTAAAATTTTGGTGAAAGAACTTGAAAGAGTAAGAATGTGAATTACCGTGATTTAATAGTAAATTGGATTAGGATCATGGAGATTTAGGTCAAGTCCACCTTCAGCCATGGAAACTCAGTGGGTGACTTTGTTATTCAGTGGCTCTCTTGTAATCCAACCTACCTTAGTAGGTGGCTGTTTTGAAAATAAAATAAATTGAGATTCTCATGTAAGATGCCTTGATTTCCTGAAGAAAAAGTGGGATGTACATCTAACAATCAAGTAAATAGGCAAGTGACTTTAATTTAGTCTTGGTAGCCTTGGTAATCCAGACAGACTTGATCATTAATATAAAACTATGTTTTATTATCAATCCTTACTTTTTTGGATTTAGAAAGAATGAAATTGGTTTTCTGTCAGGGATTTGGGCATCATAGCCTCAGGGAGATGTTAGCAATGCTGTCTTCTTTTGCAGCTGACACATAGGGATATCTTCTTTGGGGTCTTTGGTGCTTTTTGAGCTTGGTGCTTTTCTTGTGCTGATATGTCTATTCCAAACTAGGTAACATCATCAGTGCTACTTATTGACAGCTGGAGCAGGAGTGAACAACTCTTGACCTGGGAACATATGCAGCCACTCCTCTAAAATTGCACTGTTACAAATTGTGAAAATTCATCCCACAGAATGTTTTTTGATCCATTATTCCAAAAAGAAATGACAAAAAGGTCTAACCTAAATCAGACTGAGCAAATTTATCTTACTTTTTAAAATCTCACAAGTAATAATTAAGGAGACAAATATTTTGGTCTTATCTTTTTTGTGGGTGCAAAGTTCCTAAAAATATTAAGTAGTCCTTGGCTAAAAAGCAAAGAAAAGAAAAGGATGTCTGCATTGCTCTAGATTAAAGTGTCACCTATTCCTTTTTTGAAAGCAGCAAAACAAGACATGCTGCTTGCCAAATCCCAGTGTAAAAGCAATTTTGCACTCTTCCAAGGTCAAGAATTCATAGCACCAACATCTAATTTACAGGTCCATTTTCTTTTGAACGGCTTTATCTCAGTTTATCACACCTCCCATGGCCTCTGAAGGGTTGACAATGTTCGTTTAGTTGTCTCTTCTATCTTGCTGCTTTTGCTCCTTTTCATTCCTAGCCTTTAAGAGTAAAGGATCTTTAGTCTGGCTAAAGACAGGTAATATTGGTATTGTTTTCCCAGAATTCTGGCAGGCTCATTTGAATATACAGTACATTCATTTCACAGTTCCTACTGAAGTGTTTTTGTAAAAATTCAAAATGTAATGTCAGTGGGAAAAACATATATTAAGAACAACTCTGTCTTTGGCATAGTACTATCATTTTTTAAAAAAACCCTTTGTTTTCAGTAAATCCTTTCATATGTTTTATGATTTAAAAAAACTTTTGTTTTAGTTTTCTAGGACCTTTTTTAAAAAATACTACTCAACTTATTAGCTTATTCTCCTTTGGTTGTGGGATACATGCTTAGCTCCTTCAAACTTCCCTTTAAATTACACATTCCTGTAGCTTTCAACCCTTCACCACCTTTTTTTTCAGAATGTATCAGAAGAAGGAAGAGACTAGTTATTAAACAGCAAAGCACAAGCTGGGGGATGTCTCAGATTTACTTATAGTAGTTGTTATGTATTCTTTCAGAAGCATTGCTGCTGCAGTGCTCTGGCTGGCTGCCTTCCTCCTTCCCGTGATTTTATTTTGGAAAACTTTGCCTCTCTTCTTTAGAAAACAATTCAATATTTAGAATATATTTAACATAGCTGTCTGCTTTTTCCAGGCAGAAAGATGTAACCATCAGAAGCACATCATCCCCCTGGTTCACACACTGATGTATACGCTGATCAAAGTAAGAACCTTATTTCTTCAGCACTGGGATTAACAGGTTACAATGCTCTGATAACAGGCATTCTTTTGCACACTGGGACTCCATATCCATTTCAAAGGGAGGAATAAAGAATGGTTTGCTGTATTGCTATGTATATGCTATTCTCGTTACTAAGAAGAAAGCTACTCTGGTGTTGCGGTTAAGGCATCAGTCTGGGAGACTACGAGTTCTAGTCCTTTGCAACAGAAATTCTTACACCTCTGAGGATTAAATGTGTTCCTTCTGAAGGGTCGGTGACTTTAGGTGACACACACTGTCAGCCCTAGAAGAAGATGATGGCAAACCACTCTCAAAAAACCTTGTCAAGTAAACTGCAGGAAGTTGTCCAAGCCGTCTCCAGGAGCCAACACTGATTCAAAGGCACATTTGTGTGCATAAACACAGATTAAGAATGCAGGGACTCTGATCTTAAGACAGGAAGCAGAGCTTTGTAAAGATGCAATAGATACTTTCATAATCTGCTTGCCTTGAGGGATACAGATAATAGGATGCAGTATATTTATGAATGGCCATGCTGGTCCCTACTGTGCACTGCACTGTTTATTATATCAAGGAGAAAACAAAACAAACAACATTGATTCTATGATGGTATTTAGATTATCAGTACTGAAGACTACTTATAGGTGCGGATTCTATAACCCTACCATAACCCTACAATCTGCTTTCTACTCATGTTTAACATAACTAGTACCTGCAGCAGAAATTCTTACATCTCTAAGCATTAAATATGTTTCCAATGAAGAAACTTCTGCTTGGACATTTACTGGCTTTTTTCCTCCCCAGGTGCCTTGCTTACCTGATGACCTATATGAGAGAGTCTATGATTTCTTCAAGAAGTTGCTTACTTTGCCCAAGCCTTTCTGCACTATTGGTTTGGATTATGCTTGCCAGCTGAAACTAGAACGGGCAATCCCAGGTAGGCTAGCTTTATTTATTTTAGTTTGTTATATTTGTTATGATATAATGGCTATTTATCAACAAATACATAAAATTAGCATCAAAAGGAAAGGGATCAGAAAATATGGGAGAATTATGATGGACTATCCTTTATGTATGCAGTGATGCATGGACCTCTCCCCAAGAATGTTTCATGAATAATTCAGGAAGAATTATGCACAATAAAAGGCTTATCTGTAAGCATATTTCATGCTTTTGTTAAGACTGCTTTGAAATTATTCACTGTTCAAGCTGTCCAGTAGCTTCTGGTGGCAGTTTTGAGATTTATTTCCTTAACAAATTGATTATTAGAATTAAAATCAGACCATGGACATTTGCATTTTATTGTTGTGTATGTATTTATCCACTAGGAATATTATACCAAAGGAAAGTCTCTGCAGAACAAGGCCTCAAAAATGACTCATTCCCTTATCAGGATAAGTAAGTATGCCACTTCCCATGTCCCTTTTGTGCCTATATCTATCCTTTGTATCACATGATGGGGCAGTGGATTTAACAGTATATGAAAACGATGGGTCCTGTATGGTCATCTAGCTGAAAGAAGTTTTCCAAGTTGTTTATTCCCAGGTTTTTAACCATGCTTTGTATGTGTGTGATGTTACATGTTTGTTGCAGAAGAACATCATCCTGCTCCTTTAAGATACCTTTTGTTTGATTTCTATTTAAGTTAAGCTTTGTTAAATTATAAATAGATTTATGATTTTTCGTTCAGAGTTCTTTTTCCTTAAAGTGCTATCTAGTTGAAAAGCTTGTTATTAAATTTGTGATAAAAAGTCCAGATGAAAATAAATTGTTAGAGCAAAAGATCAACTGTCTACTACACCAAGATGAAATCATTAATACTGAAGGGACATTAATGTTACTGAATCTGGAATATTGTGGATTTAAGCATGGAACTGATTGTTTACAGAGCCCTTTAGTTTCCCATACAGACTCTTGGATTCACATCTACAGCTAATAAGTTCTGCTTATGTAATATATATTAACTCTTCATTTCCTTAGGATTTTCATGTTTGTTGATCCAGATTTGCTCTCTGGGGCTGTATGCCAAGCACTAGTTGATGAAATCAAGGCTGCCCAAATGTTCCAGTGTACCAGGTCCTGCATGATCTATGTGATAGCACATGCTTTCCAAACAGGGCTGAAGGAACATTGTGATATGAGGAACTTGCATGAAGCATTTCAGGTATTGTGAAGAAACAAGGAAGTGTTGGTTTTGCAGATTAATGATTGAATGAATGAAGTAACTAGAACTCCTTAAAATAACAGTTTCACTCTAAATAGTATAGATGGAGATTTTTAACTTCCTTCTTTCTCAGAGTGCTGCATCAAGATCGGCTTTCATTTTCAATTCATAAATAGATACATGTGTACTGCTCAAGGTTGCCCAAGAAAAGCCCAGAATTCCCTTACCTTTTTGGACATCAACTCACATAATTTTCAATCGGCTGTGAACTGTTGAAGTCTAACATACCTGGAAGCTTTCTGCTTTTTAAAGAAAAAGAAATACATTGGAATACATAGAAATAAAATTTTCCTTTTTTTTCTTAAGGTAAAAAAAGTTGTACTGGGAAATAGAAACAAAGCCAGTAATCCTACAGATAAAAGACTAATTCTTGGAAAGGTGCTTATTTTCTTGCAAATGTTTAGCCCAAGTAGAAGCTTTGTTGGTATTTAGCCACCAATCTGATAAATATGGTGTACTCTAGATTTCCTGAAGCTAAACTTCACAGTAATAAAAATGAGCTGCATTGCAAAAGGTTTAGGTTGTCTGCTTCCCTGTAAACATTTTATGAAATAAGCATTTTTATAACTTCAAGCTGGAACTATTTTCTGTAAGTGTTTATAATAACTGAGAAAGGCAGAGAATTAGATGAGTTATGGCTTATTGATATGCCTGAGAGTTTGATATCACATTGCATAAAATGTAGCAGGTTTTTCATTATTGAGTTGTGCTAAAATATGGAGTTTCCAGATTAAAAAATGTTCCCAACTTTTCTTGAACAAGCCTCAATAAATAACATATATGTATATCAAAGCAAAATACTACCATCACAAAATCTCCAGAACCGTAAAGCCTAACTTGAAATTTGGCATGTGTGTTCCTCTTGGCTTCTAGGTGCTCACTAACAAAGGATTTTTCAAAAGACCATCAGAGCATTAGTATTTCCTGTATTATTATTAACACGCTCTGATGCTAAGGAGTTCTACTTCCCCTCCCCACCTGAAAAAAAATATGTTCCAAATGCAAAACACAAGCAGAGGATAGGACTTTTGGTTTCACTTTTAGTTTCACAGCAGCAACCAGCTTTACTACCGAACAATTGAGCTAAGCCACGCCTAGGCTCCTTGCTGTCTCCTTGCTTACACAGCAAATATTGTTTCAGTTTCCAAACACATTGAAAGAACATTACCAATGGATGGTGATAGGCAGAGGCAGAATTTTCTTTTCCACCCCCAAGACTAAGCCTGACCACATAGTTTCGTGGTGAAGCATGGCTATAGAGCTAGTCCTAAATATAGTTAAGGAAAATAATGAAAAGCGAACCCATTACACCTTCCAAAGCCATGTTTACTTAAAGTAAAGTCCTTAATAGGACTTTAAGTTTTTCTGAATCCATCACATCCCTTCACATTTGAGGAAAATATTGCTTTCTATTTTAGATGGTGAAATTGAGAAGTCCAGTGCTGCCCCCATTTCCAGAGATCATATGAGTTTTGAATCCAGTATCTCTATAACTTTTCTTATCCTTTAAACACACTGTTGGTGTTTGTAGGCTATATAAACTAGCACCTTCTGGATTATTTGGGGCAGGCAAACCCAGTTTCATCAGTATCAGACCATAATAATTGCAAAATGACATGCATGTAATGATACTATCACACAAATGCAGCAATTATGTACTTGCATCACAATGGTTGCACGACTCATGGTATTTTCATAATGTCATCACTCATGAGCCATTATTTGCCTGTCCTGAATACACCCATATGCAACATGTTCTTAGTAGAATAATTCATTTGGCAATTGGGAAAATCTCTGCCCATTCTAAACTCCTCATCCAACAAATTCATTTTTTTTTTGCAAATAAAAATCTTCCTGTAATTTGGAATCACAGGTTTTATGTGCCCTCCTGAGTCTCACTACACTGTGCTCTGAATTAAAGTAACTCTAAAACATGATTCTCCATCCTCTGCTTAAACACATCCAAAGAAGGAAATTGGTTTTTCTGTTGAGCTGATTTTTCTGTTAGGAAATATTTTATAGCATTCAATTAGGAATCTGACTTTATTTAAGTCATATCCATACTTATGTGTCTTGTGTGTCATGCATGGAACAATGTGAGACAATGAATAAGACACATATCACATCTTCTGTGTGATACCTTTCAGGTATTTGAAGAATGCTATTTATGCTCCAAGCTTTTTTTCCCAACACTAAACATATTTACTCCTTATCCATAGGAATTAGTTTCTAGTCCTTTGATCATCCTAAATATCCTTCTCTGAACTTGTTCTAGTTTCTCTGAATCCTTCTTAAAGTGTGATACCCAGAAATGGATGATGGGGGGGAGCTCTGACTAAAGCAGATGGAATTGGAATAATTATTATTTTCCATGATTTGTAAATTGTATTTCTAGGGATGCAGCATAAAATTTCATTTGCCATTTTGGTAACTCCATCACATTACTACCGGTAATTCATATTTAACTTCCAACCCACTGTTATTTAATCTCTTTCACAAGTATCATTTATGTTTCTAGTAGAATTTACTTTTATGGGATTATCCTTGCCAAACTGCAAAAATAATATTATGAAGCGTTGATCATAATAAAATTCCATTAAAGATTGTACATATTAATTGAAAACTGACTGGTTATATTATTAATGCATCTTAAAATCTCCTAAATGCTTGTAGTCAGTGATGTACTTATCAAAAATGAACCTGTCCCTTTAAGCTCCCTTCAGATTTTGTTTGAAATAGGCTTCTGTCTTTAATGCCAGTAAGAACTATGAAACTTCAACATTACTTTGGAGTAAGCTCTATTAAAATTAGTGGAAATTAGTTTTGAAACAATGTGGATAGGATTTTCATTTCAACAAGCCATAATTAAAACAAGGAGCTGTTTATTATTTAACATGAGTTGACAAAGAGAAGCTTACAAAATATTCAGACATTGATAACCCTAGTTTAGGAGTGTCAAACTCGCATCATCACGGTGGTGTCATGTGACACATCGGGACTTTCCCGCCTTTGCTAAACCAGGCAGGGGCATGGCCAGCACATGACACATCCGGCCCTTGGGTTGTGAGTTTGACAGCCCTGCATTAGTTTTTTTTTAAAAAAATTATCAGCATATTACTAGGAGACAAAATAAAAAATCCCAGTTATCAAATTACTTCCAGAAATTGGTCAGTTGTATCAGGTATTCCATGTTTGCACTTTCCTGGTGAAAAAACAGTTTCCCACTTAAACAAAACTGAGTATTATGACAGTAACAGTAGATCTTTATAAACATTTGCTTACTTGATGATTGAATAAAGCTGAATTCATTCTGCAAGCTACGAATGTCATTCTAGGAGTTCGTAAAACCTAATTACATCTTTGTCCTTTGATAGGCAAAGCCCTTAGATGAGATTGAACACTGTTTCCAAGAAGTGATGGCAGCAACTGAACATGCGGTTGAAGACATGAACGTGGAATATAGTCGATATGTTGAGGCCCTTGAGAACATCTACAGTACATTGCTGAGTTCTTCAGAGAGAAGTAAGTGTAGCATTCTGGAACTTGGAACAAGTAGGTCTTGGTCCCTGAGTTGTTTTTGGGAAGGAGATTTGGGAACTTGTGATACCTTCTTCTGTATGCTTTATTTTTCCCAGTATGTGCCACAGGATGAATATATCCAATCTCTTCCTTATGTGGAGCTTTACAGTCCTTGGCAGCAACAAGCAACAGTGTCAAAATTAGTCCCATAAGAACTGTATTAGGTTTTTTTTTAAGAAAAAGGAAGCTAAAGCAGCAAAATGCCAATAACAAGTGGTTACAAGTGATAACAAGGGGCAATTGAGTATGCATTCCTATCCCCAAATCTGAGTATCTCTCTCTATATATAGAAAATCAGATTTTTCTGTGTGATTTTTCTATGTGAACATTATTTTAGAAAAGTAAATGTGAGGTTCCATAACCCACTGCAGAGCAAACACCAGTCCTTCCAATATTCTCACAGACTAATTTTCACATTTCTCTGATCTCTTTCTAAGATTATATCAGACTGGCCGAAACTATAACCTGAAGTGACATATAAACAGCAAGATTTTTGTATTTTACAGGGGTGAAGTCTTCAGTAGACAAAAGTTCAGACATCCCTTTGCCCAACCCTAAAATCAGCTTCCATCTGTGGACTGATGAAGACCAACTTTGTAAGTATCTGAACTCTGACATGGGTTAGCTAACTGGCAGAAAAGTAAAACTATTTGTGGTGGAGTCCCCGCTAGTCTCTTGTAGTGTGTTTTAGACTCAGCCAACTATCATTGTGTTGATATAAAGATCATGATAAAAGGCTTTATATTATCTCAGTGATGGCTGGGTGATGCTAGGAAGCCTATAAGTCACTGCGGGTGGAGGGTGTGGGTAAGGGATAACCACAATCTCACTAGTTACTTTTTTATTGTGATAGAGAAGCAGGCCAACTTCAATGTTTAAGAAAGCTTCTTAAGTACTAAGGCAATAACATGAACAAGGAAGCTCTGGATCAGGAAGTTATTTATTTGAAGGAAGCTTTGGATGCAAATGTCTATGGAGATTCTCAGTGATCCAGGTCATGGTTTCCCAAAGATGTTTTTTCAAAAGGCAACTGGACTTTGTTTTTTCTTGACGATGTTTTGCTTCTCATTCAAGAAGCTTCTGAGGACAGAAGCTTCTTGGATGAGAAGCAAAATGTCTTCAAGGAAAAAACAAAGTCCAGTTGCCTTTCGAAAAAGCATCTTTGGGACCTTGGATGCAAATAAGTTATGTAACAGGAAAAGAAACAATACACAAACAAAAAAATAAATAAGTGGTAGATAGCATTACATATCAATAGTTGGGGCACAAAGAAAGGTTTTTTTAAGAGTATATGGTGCAGCATGAAAAGGACTGACAGATTTCTGAATGATTTCACTTTCACTTCATGAGTTAGAACAGTGATTTTGATGTGATGTGAATGCTATTCAGGAAATATATTGTATGAAAATGAATAAATAGGGCTTCATTTCCCTATAAAAGTAACACATTAAAAATAGCAGTTTAAGTGAACATTTGAAATGATTGTGAGGGGGAGTCTGATTCAGCGTATTTTATTCTGCTATATTTTTTGTATTCTCTTTGTTATTTAATGGTGTTACAAAATACAAATATTTGTATAAAAACAGCTCATCATTTAAAAAAAAAAATATTTCAAACCTGCCTCATTTTTAAAGGAGCAAAATTAAAAAATAAAAGCAAACCTTTTAAACCTATTAATAGGGCTTAATTATAACTAAATGTTTATGTTAAATGGCTGTTTTTATTTGGAATACAATCACTTCTAATCAGGATTAGTACCCCATTTTCATTATCTTTCAAAAATTTACCATGGCTGTTCTTTGTCCATAGATATATTGTTTACTGCAAAAACCCCAAAGATAGGGGTTTTTTCCCCCAGCAGAAAAATTTTAAACTCTAATCTTCTCAAGGAGAAAGATATTAAGCCTTTGCATGGCAGCATGCCCATTACTTTATGTTCAATTATGTTAGCTTCATGAACCAAAGCTTCAGCCTAAGAATGTGAACAAAATATTTATTTTGCACAAGAAGCCATTGTGTACTGGCTTCAAGCTTGTCAGGGTTTCCCCCAAATCTCACATTATTTCCTCATTTTAGGGAAAGAGCTGGTGCAGTTTCTCCGTTCACCAAGTCAATGTGGTGAACAGGATTCTCTGAGTCCAGGATTGGATGGCTTTGAATTTCAAGATCTGGTGCCAGACTATGACTGCTGTGAACAGACACGTTTCTCTGTGCTCTCCAATGACAGTGGGATTGAGCGGGACTTGCCCCTTCTGGCTGATGACATGCCAACTTCCTGCAATGCTGAGACTGAGCATTCTCGACTCCAGAGAAAGGGTTGCATTAAGAAAAAATATGCAGACAGTGTAGCTTTGCTTCAAAGTAATTGCAGTGGCCAAGGTGCAAAGCCAACTGGGAAACTGCACCGGAAATCTGGTGGTAGTACCATAGAACCAATAGTTAAAGTGAAAAAACTGCATAGAGCTCGTGTCTTAGTGCTGGGTGATGACAGGGTACTGGGACGCCTTGCCCAGGCCTATCACTCTTTGAGGTTAGTATTGTATAATGCAGATATATTTCTCCTCAGGCGACAACCAGGTAGCAAATAGGATACTATGTAAGCCAGAGGTGAGGAATCATGGCCCCTTTATGACTTGGAAACATCAACTGCCAGAATTCCTGAACCAGCATGGGTGGTTCAGGAATTCTGGGAGTTGAAGTCCCCAAGTCATAAAAGGGCCATAGTTCCCCACCCCTTGATGTAGATCATATTCCCATAGCACAACAGATATAATTTAACAGAACACTCATCCAGAGCATTTGCTACCAGTGAGATGGCAAACAATGACTGCCTTTCTCTTTTGTTTTTATTATTCCAGCTATCTTTCTATGGCTGCTAGCCAACTCTTCCTGTCTTGCTTGTCAGTTTTTATAAGCTATAACTAAAGCCTAAATTGTATGGTTGGGAATGAATTTATGGCATATGAGATAGGGGAGGTTTATCTCTTTTTTATTTTATTTTATTGTTTTTGTTTTCAAACTTGAATTCCTGAATATGCACAAGCAATGGAAATAACAAACTAGAAACATTTGCAGGAGCAATTCTGCTTTGTAGTCTGATATCATTTTGCCAGTGGTCTCACATCAACTAATCATTAGCATCTTAATTAACCACTAAAAGACTGGTTTTATATTCAGGCAGCATTCAAGCACAGCATACAATTTTTTGCTGCTTCACAAAAGGAAATTAGTGCCATTTGCTAATTACTTAACTGCTTTATTTCAAACTAGTGTATTTTTTCATTAGCATATCTAAATTGAAAGGGTAGTAAGGGGGCTTTTCCTACAATTTTAGTGACATCCATCCATCCATCCATTCATCATACATACATACATACTTACATACATACATACATACATACATACATACATACTTCCAGCAAGCTTTAAATTGTGAAGGACAATAACAACAATAATAAAGTGTTTTAGGTGCTGGCCTAGAAACCAGGAGACTGAGTTCTACTCCTGCCTTAGGCAAAAAAGCCAGCTGGGTGACTTTGGGCCACTCACCCTCTCTCAGCCAGCCCACCACACAGGATTGTTATTGAGTCAAAGGAAGAGTATTTGGTATGTTCACCACCTTGCATTACTTACAAAGTAATAAAGGTGAGAAGAAAAACCCTCCCAAATAAATCCATTTTGTATGAAATAGATGCTTTTTATTGAGCAGAATATGTGCCATTTCAACTCCAGCAGAAGAAAAATGTGATGTGGCAATAATTAAATCACATTACCCATGTTTTGTTCTTAAAGATGCTGAATGCTGAATGTTAATATAACTTGTTTCAATTCATTATAATTCATCCTAACAAGTCTGAGGACATGATATTCCTCAAGTGATTAGTATTTTAAGGGAGAAAGTTTACAGTGGAATTGTAGCATCTCATTGTAGTGGATGAAACCTTTTAATATGCTGTAGAATGTAGTTTGTGTTGATCAATAGTAATATTATGCTATGGTAGCAGTAGAAGGTCATATGTAGCTTGGCAATATGAGTGCTTGGGGTTATCCCCCCAGCCCCCCACTATTCTAAAAAAAGGTATGGGGAGGACACAAGAAATAGGCAGCCACAAATTGAGAAATAATGAAAGAATTTTCTTTTTTAAGAGAATGATATAGATTCTTATACACCAACTGAATAACTGTCAAAAGGATAAAGTCAAATCTTTTGGTTAATGCTCAACACTTGATAACTTAATAGACATGTTATTTTGCCATTTTCCAAGATGCTTCTTGTCTTCCCAATTTAGTCAACTGATCTCTCTTGATGGTGTCCAATTCAAATACTTAGTATGACTTTGCTTAGCTATTTCAAATCAGCCAAGGTTACCTAAGTATTGTCAGAGTACTATTAATATATCTCACAATATTTTCTCAGTTAGAAAACACACACACACACATACACATACACAAATTAAGATACACACACACACACACACACACAAAGAGAAAAAATAATATAATGTAGCTCAGGATTGAATTGAGGAGCCTTTGGTGCTCTCTGAACTTGGTTGTTTGGTTGCAGACATTTCATTACCTGACCAGATAACATGGATCAGTGGTAGTGAGTATGCGGTTTGCCATTTATATAACCACCACCTTCATGTATTTCAGTGTTCAACTGTAGAATCCTTAGTGCTACCCAAACTTGGTTGTTTGCATGCAGACAATTCATTACCGAACTAGGTTACATCTCCAATGCTAGTGTGTGGGGGATTTGCTCCCCATTTATATAACCACACCTTCACCAAATCTCAGCCAATACTGGCAGGCCAAGCTTCTATATATAGAGAGAAAAACCTCAAACTCCTTAACACTGGTTGTGTTATATAGTTGGGTAACAAGCAGGCAAATCACCAGTTCAGGGTTTGTGTCCCAAGGACTTCAGAGAGAGAGAAATCATTTGTTACTGAAGAAGCCTTATCAGACCTTATTTTTTCCCATGTCCAGGAAGCGAGAAAGCAGGCGGGTGTTTCTTACACAAAGGCTAAAAGTAGATTTTTATTATGTGCCTCTTGTTGAAGAGCAACCAACCTCGTCCCTTATTGAGGTGAGTGACTTACAGCTAGTAATGGAAGAGGAAGTCCTCCATTTTTTGCAAGTGGATCTTGTCTGTGCAGTATTGAATAAAACCTGCTTCTCTTTTGTCTGCCAAAACAGGGAGATCCATGTGAGTTGGCTGCCTATATTGGAAGAGTTGATCCGTGGTACGAGAGCAATATTAATTCCCTCTGTTACACGATTCCAAAGCTGGCCACCATGGTAGGAGAGAAGCTCTTCCTTCTGTATGTGTAGAAACAGCTATGAGATTTTTTTTTTCTTGAGATAGCAAAGGAAAACAGCAATATTTCCATCATGAAGTTGCTTCTCACCATCCCTTAATCAGAATCCTCAGCTTGTAATAGCCAACTTGACATGAGGGCTATGTAACATCCTGCTTTCATCCTATATGGGTGAAAGGCTACTTTCTGTGCTTGGGATCATAGCCCTACCATTAATGTCTTTTATATTTCATAAAGGTGCATTTATCATTGTTGGTGTAATAATGGGGGCAGGGAAAGAAAGAAATATCTTACTTTCTACTATTTTAGATGAGAGAGGCTATGTGATTCTCTCAAAGAATATTTTTCTTAATCGTACTCCTATATTTACCAGCATGTTTGCTAGAAATAGCAGTTACAAATGATATAGACTGATGTAATCATTTTTGATCCCATGCAGCTTTCTTCACCAAGCAAATCCACACTCTCTGAATTGTTCATTATTGATGTGATTGCATATTATGTGCGTCTGGGCTTACAGCCAGTTTTCTTCCAAGTCTATGCAGTGAAGGTCAGTAGTCTTGAAGGATGAAAATACTTATTATCAGTTTAAACAAAAATGATTACATTTCACCCAATGAGGAAGGATTTTCTTGTCTTTCAGATTTTTTTTAATGATGCTGCCTTGGAACCAGCTGAGGACATTTTCCTCACTGAGTTAAGAATAAACTTTGAAGAGTTCAACACTTCCAAAGGTCTATATTTCATTTCAAGATTTACTACCTATTGCACTTTCAGTTTATTCTCAAAATCTGTAATCAGTCTTCCCTGACCAATATGTTAAAATACTGTTCCTTTCATCTCAACCTAATGATCACGCTGTAATCTTTTATATTTAAAAATAACTTCACACAAGCTGAATCTATTTAATGTTTTCTCCTCTGATTACATCTGAAGCACAACTCCTTGGCCTTTTTCCTCTCCTCAACACTATTTAGATAAAAGTTCACATGCCATTCCCCTGCCTATCAAATGTATTGTCCATTAAGTTCAGAACAAATAAACAAAAGTCTTAAGTAGAAGAGCACTGTATGTCTCAATATTTAGTCTGTCTGTAAACTAACTGGAAAATTATCACTGTCATAATTGCTTGAAAGCTATGTCTTTCTCTACTAGACAATTTACCAACAAAGAAGAAACCAACAATAGAATTTCCTGGTGCAGAACTTACATTATTTTATAAAAAGGTAAGACACATTATAAATTGTAGGTAAAAGTGGGAAACTATATAGACTTTTAGGAATTGGAATTAAGTTCCAGCAAAATATTTCACCTACATCAATTACTTGAGTTCAAAATAGGAACTATTGAAAGTTATGCTTCAAATTTATGTAAAAAAGCAGGTTGACCTAATTATTTTATCTCACATTAAACGTAGAAGTCAGGTGAATGTAAATGTTTTATGTTCTTCAAAGATGACAACCATTAAGAAGAAAGCAGAGTAATTTCACTTATAGACTAGAACATTATAAAGAATTGAGAGGAGATATACAAAGCATGCAGAAGAGGTGGTTCACAAAGCACATTAGTACAAACAAAACCTTTTAAATATATTAAAAGTACTGTATTTTTCACAAATCTTTGAAAGCTGCTCAATTTTCTGCTGGAATGTGTGCATGTAGAAGCAACACTTCTGAGATCTCCAACAAAGTGTAGTGGCGATGGTTGCATGTGTAGCCAGACAAGTTTTTCAAACAATCAGCTGGAGCTTGTGAAGAATGCTACTGCTTTAATGCTTTGAAGAAAAGTGTTCCTTTGGTGCTGATGTGCTTTGTGAAGCACTGCTTTCAAGCGCCTATTAAGCATGAGAGGAAAAGTGTCTGTTTATTGGATGGCGGAATCGCTGATTCATTTTATAAAGCATAAATGCAATTACCAAAGTGAAACATTTCTCTTTAGGTTTTGCTGAGTAACCGTGAAAAGGATGAGATAATTTCTTTGCGATCTACAGGCCTTGTTATAAAAACCATTCCCTCACATGAATTTGAAGGTAAAAGTTATGGT